CAAGGAATTTAACTTTGGTGAACTGTGCTCTCATATGTACAGGTACAACATTAAATATCAACAATAAACATAATAAGAAAAGACTAATATTTACATGACTAAATATGAAACAGTGCAGTGGTGAATACTGCAAAAGATGCTGAAGCAACATGATGGTAAGATTTTTGTTTGCCACAACCAGATGAGTTTGAAAACGTGTTTTATGGCATTTTGAGGAAAGAGTTACGATTTAAGGAGAGTTTAGAAGGGAGCTTGCACTTTTTAAGAGTAAGTTGAGGCTCAAACAAAGAACTAGTGTGAAAACAGTCTTTGCCTGTGACAGGTGGCGTGGATATACAAGCAACAGGATTCGAAACGCAATGCCTCGGAGAAACGATCCTTTGATGTGGAAGCAGAGGCTTGAACTGGCAAGTGGGAGATTCTGGTTTGTTTTCCATTCAGTTATACAACAAAAGAGAAAGAGAGTATTTTAAGACGCTGCCTTCCTCCGTCTCTTTGGACGGCTTTCTGGTTCACTGGCACATGAGCACAAGGGTACAGGCCCTCGTCTCTGCTTCAACGGGCAGTTCGTATAATGTTCTCATTGATTTCAGTCTTGGCATCACGGATGACACCTCCGCATTGGCCCGAGTGAAGTAGGATCTACCTCATTTATCTCTACGGCTCACAATAAGCTGAGGATGTGTGTGTGTAGGAGTTTGTGTATGTGTGTGAAGGAGACACACACATCTAGAGAATTTGGGGAGTGTTTTTGAGTGTTTGTACGCTCACTGTACGCATGTCATAAGCATGCTAAGATGGCAGATGTCTTTTTGTGGACAAAGAGCTCAGCATCGCAGAGCTGCACAGAACAACACGAGCGGGGAGAAAACAAATGAAAACCCTCATAAGTCAACTTCTCTCCTCCAAAAAGGCAGACAACTAGGACATGCAGACAAAAGGCGCATTGATATTGGCAGTGACACACGGGTGGCAGCTGTACACATCATGTCATTCAGCGGTGGCTGCTGTGAAAGAGGACTTTGTCAGACAAATCGAGGCTGCTGATGTGCTTTCATCCAGCGGGGGGAAATGTGGTGTTAAGTAAAGGTTGTTGTCCTTGAAATAATCATAAAACTGAGGCTGCAAATTTCACTCTGGGTCTCTACAGATTTGGCAAATTAAAAAATAGTTAAACAAGCCTGTGAGCAATAATGGATGATGATGGTTCAATCTGGAATAAATAAAACGCTGTGATTTATCCTGAAACCTGAATGTGTCAAAAATTCAAGGTGTTTTACTTTGAGGAGTTTTTATTGGTTATGAACCAGTCTCAATTCAATACTAACGCCTCCATTTGACCGACATATGCAAACAAGACCAAACAAGACCATCAGGAAGAAGATTGATTTTAATTCCCCAGAAATGTTTTAATTAGTTTCAAAACTGTCATTTGGCCAGATTTGAAGCTATCATCTGTAAAAATGAAGCAGAAGATGATTTTTCCCAAAGAACAACATTAACAAACACAAAGAGCAGATCAAGAAAAGATTAAATAACCTTATTTTAAATATTTGGGGATATTGATTGGAAAGTGTCTGCGCTGAGGATAATGTGGTTTCCTAGTAACAATAAGTAAAATGCTGCATTCTTCTTTTAAAAAAATGTATATACAAATTATACAGGCAGATGGGCTAGTGGTTAGTCTATGCGCCCCATGTGCAGCGGTCGTGTCCTTGAGGGGGATGGCCCTGGTTTGAATCTGACTTTCCCGTCATTCCCAAATCTCTATCATTTCCAAATAAAAAACCTGAAACCGAAGAAGACAGTTTTCATGCAAAGATCTACCAAAGTAATATCATCCATGCTCTTGTGCCTCAGAGGGATTTCTGCAGCAGCCAACTGAAACCAATGTCTGCATGGATAGTGGAAAATCGATCTCAAGGCTTGGGGGTTTGCTTTGGAAAAATGTGCAAAATCACAAAAGAACACAAGATTTGTAGTTAATGGGCTCAAACATGCAAAACCAAAACTATGGCCCTTCATTCTCCAACAGCAACAGTGGGAACAAAAGATGTAACACTGCTTTTCCCTGAATGAGTGTACAAAGTTTGTTACCAGGCTGAATCCTCTTGTGCCCTTTACTGAGTTCAAAGAAACAGTATTGATGATACGAGTATGCCACGCTGTAGCAAAAAAGTTTGTTAAACTACCTGAAGCTGAATTCTGAATCTGTCATACTTTTAAATGACATTTAGCATCGTAGATGACACACTGAGACAGACAGAAGAGTCTATACAGCATGTTAACATTTTTAAAAGCAGGTTTCGAGCAGAAGAAGATTTTTCAGAGAACGAACAAACATAAAGGGTTGGATGGGCAGAGAGATGAAGGCAAAAAAGGGAAAATAGTTAGTAGATACAACACGATACGGTATGGTATGACAGGATATGATAATATACGGTATATGATACAGTATTTTATGATACGGTACGATATGGTACGATAATATACGGTACGATACCGTCATATGATACAGTATTTTATGATACGGTACTTCATGATACGATATGGTACGATACGATTTGAAACGATAAGATAATATAATGTTATGGTCCAATACGATATAATACTTTATGACACAAAACAAAAGGGTTTAAAGTGTCTTATAGGATTAACATTCATGTGCCCTTCACTGAGTTAAAGAACTGCATTATTATTGACATGAGCTTGCATTTCAGTAGCAGAAAACTTTGGCAAACTAAGAAGACATGCTACAGTTCAAACATGGAAAGAAGCCCTGAATCTGCTATTTTTCACAAGTGACATACAGCAGTGTAGATGACACCGTCCCAAGAGTCGCAGGCTTGTCATAAGAACGCCTGATGCAACTGTACAGCAACAATGTGCCCCAGAGCCAACAACAACAGCCACACACTACACACCCACAGGCAGAGGAGGACACAGAGAATCCAACTGTCTGACTGCCTACCAACAATCAGCCAATGTATGTATGTATCTGCAACATGGAGGATATTAAACTCTATATGCACATTCATACCTCAGCATGCTCTCTCCTCCAGGAGGATATTGAAACTGTCACGTAAATTGATGTTCTTATCATTAACTTACCAGAACACGACTGTCTTTTGGCCAAACACTGAGCTGAAAATGTGCTTTTTAGATTTCTGCCTCTGGTTAACATCACTTTTTAAATAATTAGAAGAACAAGTTTGTAGTTCAGACATAAGACATCACTTACGGAGACTTCAACTTCACTGTCAGAAAATCGAAGGGGAGATTACAGCCGCCCGTGTTTTATTGACATCTGGTGTTAAAATGGAAGAGGAAAGCCCCACAGCAGTGAGTACTTTCTGCACAAATGTCAATGAAATTACTCGAGAAGGGGCTCAGAAATTTCTGCCTTAACAGGATGCAGTGCCCACACACAGCAACAACAAACGGGGTTTGTCAATGATTTGAAAGCCACAAAACTCAATGTCGTTTTTGACGACATTTGTTCAAGAATTTTTTCCACAACATGAAACGGTTACATGCAAATAAGATGAAGTGAGTACAATGAAAATATGCAATTGATAAAGGAAATATGTTGTACACAACATCCACACATATAAATGAAGACAGCTTAAGTAGGCTAAATGAATTTCCTGCAGCAACCTTTTTTCAGTTCGTTGGCAGAATGGACTAAAAGTTGTGTCAAAGGGAAATTCAGAGATATTTACAGAGACATTTTTGTGGTCATTGGATGAAAGCACAAAGTAAACAGAGGGAAGAACGGCTCACACGCTGCTTTGTCTCATCAACAATTCAGTCTGTGCATCATCAGAACACATGTTGGGTTTAAAAATTCATCAAGGCAGTGATACAAAGTTTAACTGTCTGTGGAGTCTTCTCCTACACACTGTTAGATATCAGTGATGAACTGTTCCCAAAGCAGCTAATCAGACGATGTTTACGCCCACCCGAACAAGTGCTGAAGTTGAGACGCGTGTCTCTGAGCTTTTCTTTACCAGGATCTAACACACAGGCATGCAGCTAACACCCACACACACACACACACATGAGCAGCACTACTGACCACACTATTATTGACCTTTTTCTGACTCCATCCAGAACCTTTAGAAAAGTCAGGCTAATGTCCTGAACTTACAGACTAGTCAAAAAGCTCCAGCAACACTTTTAAGTACGAAGATCAACTTTGTAAACTAATTAGAGCGACGCGTATCGGCTTGTGGCCTTCATCAGACGTCGGTCTAATTTGTTAATAAAGTTGATCTTCGTCCTACAAGTGTTGCTGGAGCATTTTGACCTCTTCTAAGCCTTTCACTCATTATGCAACTTGTTGGTTGGTGAAGTTGTGCCAGAAAATCTTGTGCTTCTTCTGAACTTACAGACACAGGAATGTTGTACTTTAGAAAAACTGAAAACAATCTCAAGTGTGATTCAAACTGAAGATCGTTAAAGATTAGCTGATATTTAGTATAACAGCATTACCTCAAAAGTTGTATTTTTCCTACATTCCTTAAACTTTTTTTTACATCTTCACACTTCAGCAGACCAGCTCCTTTTATTCCTCAGATTTATCTGTTTTTCCGATATATTATAAATCTGACACAAGAGCCTGTTTGATGGTTGCTTTAGTGACCTTTGTGATTCTGATGTGCCAATGTGATCAGCATAGACCAAGACAGTTGGTATGGCCAATTAGAGGACCCCACATATGGAATGACTATTGTCCAATCAAATCCCTTGGTCAGAAGTAACTGTTATAATTTGTAATTTAAAAGAAATCAGTGTCTTATTGTAACTTCATGAAATCGCAATCAAAGCAAAGAAACAACATAAATCTGGAAATACACCAAACACTTTCCATTCAATTATTCTATCTATTGTTTTAGAGTAAAAAAACATTCTCTGTGGAAAAAAAATTCCGACATAGAAACCACCAGACGATATGAGGTCTAATGGATGCAAAGAAGAGAATGCTTCAGAGGGCCTACCTGTATCGTGGACATGTTGCTGAGGTCCAGTCTGAACAGGAAGTTTCTGGAAAGAGAAAAGAATGAAAGGAGATGTATGAGAGTGGGCACAATGTGACTAGCAAGATAATCTAGTTTATAAATGCAAATTAGGGTGTCAGATAAGGGTCAAACATTTTAGCTGCTTTAAACCTCAAAGCAAAGACGATAAAAATAAAACAGTGACCGTCCATTTGTCTTTTTTTTATATCTTGATGTACGATTGAGTGGTTAGGAAACTAATAGTCAGAGATGGGCACAGTTAATAAACATTTTAACTTTGTTAACTCTTAATGCGTTAAAGTTGTTAACTTCAATAGCGGTTAATCAGCTTCTTGTGAAGTCAATCCAGTTTCTTAAGAGGTCATAGTGACTTAGAAAACTCTAATTCGAGGGTAAAAAAATAAATCAATTGAAAATCTAGATACTTGTTTTTGGATGTATCACCACTGTTTTCACTCTGGCGATGCTCCAGAAGAATGTGACTTCAGGGAGGTCAAAAATCCTTTCACAATAAAAGCGCCCTGGGCGGAAACTGATATTCTGGCCTCGGCTCTTTCTCAGGTTGACCGTGATCCATCTTAGCATGTAAGAGCAACTTTTGGACGTTAAAGGAAACTTAATTCAACAAAAGTTAAGGGTTTTGATAATCTTTTTCAAATCAATGTACACATCTTTAATGAAAAAAACTCATGGCACTGATAATAAGCGATTAAGGGATTAACAGAGAAGTGTCCAGCTCTGCTTGTAGCTCGTATATATTTATATGTTTAGAAGTTTAACTGTTTAAGGCACACAAGAACATGTAGACACACATATTAGCACACACACATTTTTATGGCATGACATTTTTTCTTCCGAATCCCTCCTTTCTGCCAAATCCAGAGCTTGACTCAGTCCAACGAGGCCTCCGCAGAGCACTTAAGATGCATCATTATCCGTAAACCGCACAGTAAGAGTGAGTCAGAGAGGGTATCACGTTCTAAGTAATGTGCACCTCGGGGTGAAAAGCTGAGTGGATTTACAGTTTCTTACCTGGCACCCACAATAAGCTCATTCCTAGTCAGGTCAAGGGTGAGCTGGGAATAGTCTCTCACGCCGGGGTGGGAGAAAGAGGAGATCCACGGACTGAGAGCTGAGAGAAAAGAAAGAAAAGAGAAGGGGAGAGGGTTAGAAGAAGCTAAATCATGTCAAAGTTCAGGAGATGAAAGCAGTGACATTTACCAGTAGCGGACATAAAACACAGTAAAGGCTACTAATGCACATTAATGTGTCCAATGTTTGGTGTTTTAAGGTGGTGTATAGATGTTTCTTTGGGTTGTAAATTTGATGACTTGTTGATAGGCTGGAAATGAATCAACAGTATTTTTTTGGATGTGATTGTAATTCTAGGCTGCACAGCGGTGCAGTCATTAGCGCTGTTGCCTCACATATCGAATCGCCGTCGGACAGGAGCCTCTGTGTGGAGTTTGCATGTTCTCCCTGTGCATGTGTGGGTTCTCTCCAGGTACTCTGTCTTCCTTCCACAGTCCAAAGACATGCTCGTTAGGTTAATTAGTGACTCTAAATTGCCCGTAGGTGTGAATGTGATAGTGGCTGGTCTCTATATGTCAGCCCTGTGATTGACTGGCAAACATTCCAGGGTGTAACCCCGCCTCTCGCCTAATGACAGCTGGGATCGGCTCCACCCCCCCACAACGGTATAGATAATGGAGGATGGATGACTGTATATTTAGTTAGCCTATTTCATTTTGGATGTTGCTCTTTTGGTCAAACAACGGTAGCCACACATGTCTCCAACAAATCATGGTGTTATTTTCTTTTTCCAACCCTTTAAGACGTTTATAGAGTACAAAGTATCATCAAAAAAAAATACACTAAACAAGTTCAAGAAAAGCATGATAATAGCTGCAGCTGTAAAAGCAGACCATGCAGTGAGCCGAGCAGGGAAGCATCCTGCGCTGTGATGGCGTCTCCTGCAGAGAGGGACAAAGCTGTCCACTCCACATCACAGGGAACAATCCTGATACAACCTGACAGAGGCACAAACACACTCTATGTGCTGAACAATCCTTAAACCTCGGCGCTGTTTGAACCTGGCTTTAACAAATCTAAAAATTCAAAGCCGCGGAGCGGAGGGGCCGCCTGGTGAGGCTTTTAATGTGACTTTAAAAGTGCAGGAAAAGAGCATTCTCCCTTCAATCTTGGAGTGACCAAAAGCACAAACCTTTAAATGGATTTCACCTAGTGGGAGGTTTTGCGCAGCATAAAGGGATTTCCCATATTTCCCATGCTGTACACAGTATGACAGCGGCTCATGGGACTTTGAATTCCCTTAACCAATTTGAAAAGCCGTGTTAAACGGCTTTAAGCTTTTCCACAAAGCAGCGTCTGTGAAGCTACTTGTAAAGCGAAGCATGCAAGCTAAAAAAAAAATGACTTCACACTGTAAGAAGTTTAACTACAGCCAAGCTGCAACACAGATGATGATACTCAAGCAAAGTAGTTTAGTTTTTATAGAAATAAAAAGATCAAAATGACAATCAAGACGCAACAGAATTGCTTAATAACATGCACTAAAACATGCCAGTAAGCAACTTAGTTTAGTTGTAGTCATGCATCAAGTTTGTTTTTGTTCAGAGGTCAAAATGAATACCAATAAAAACAACAATATAATCTATATAGGTGTAAAACTATGCATAATTTACCAAAATGTTCATGTTCCCTGTGTGCATGTTCCATATAACTTTGGATGTTCAGACTACATTTGTAACAACTGCAGCTCTGTTTTGGCTCCTCAAATCTTTTATTTCATTTTGCACTGTGTGGCTATCCTTCCTCTTTGCTGCTGCATCACTGTAAATTTCTCGATTGTGGGAGAATCTTATCTTTTTAGGGTGGTGGTCCGATTTAAAAACATTTGACCTCAGTGTTAACTCCTCTGAAAGCTTCATTAAACATTTACAACCTTATACCTTCTTAGTCTTTAAACATCAAAGCAGCCTGTATGAGCTGGAGGCTACAGGTGCAGGACTACATTAAAGTGTTGGAAGAAGTCCCAGCGAACAGTGAAACAACTCTGCATCACACAAGAGGGGGGGGGGGGGGGGGTCTGAGGATTGATGGGGCCCATATGGCTCCGTCGTCTGCACACATAACCACAGATATGAGTGATAATAAGACAGCAGGCTGCAGATACACTACAGTATGCTGCTCTTCATTTAAGATACGCACACATACAAACGCTCAGAGACACACACATACTGTAATTAAGGGTGCCAGCACTGACAGGGGACCTCAGTGAAATGAGAGTTATCTGCCACATCTGTTTTGGCCAGATGTTGATTAGGATGGAATATTTTTCACTGATCTGCTGTGGGACTGAACTTGAATCAAGGTTTTTAGTAATGAGTTGAGAATGACTCATCATTTTTCTAATTAAATGAATATTCAGAAGAGTTCTCTTATTACAATTATTTTATCTTTATTTATTTTTTTTTGGGGGGGGGGCTTTTTATGCCTCTATTTTAATGACAGGACAGAGGATAGAGTCAGAAACTGGGGAGAGAGAGAGTAGTGAAGGACATGCGGGAAAGGTGCCACAGGTCGGATTTGAACCCGGGGTAACCCTTCTCGAAGTCTAAGCCTCTGAACATTGGGCGCACGACTAACCGTTTTTGTAGTGGATGTTTTATAACTCATTTGTTTGGATTTTATGACAGATCTCAGTTATTTATCATCAGGGGGCATGACTGATATTGTCGCTGTTTGTCAGGAGACTGAAGGCCCACCTCAGCTCCAGTTCTTTGCCAGTGTCTAGGTTGAAAGAAAGTTAGGTTGAGATAGCATTTTCAATATGGCCACCACCAATGTTGGGCTTCAGAAACCAATGGGGGATATCACAGAGACTATGTCCATGTTTTAAACAGTCTTTGGTTACTTTGAGTGTCAACAAATTCCATGAAACAGATCAGAACAATGAGTACGTCAACAAAACATTCCCAACAGATCCTTTTTAAACACCTGGGAACATAAGATCAGGCTCCATATTGAACAACCTAAACTGAGGAACTATTCTAATGGCTGTTCTTTGAATTGAAAGTCTCTGTTGGACGAACTTACTAAATACTTTGGCATGTTAAAGTTCCCTGATGGTTTTCTTATTTGTTGTTGTATGAACACGTAGCTTTCACAGCACATTCATTAAGATTTCTCTGTGGAAATACTCCATCTCTGACACCTACAAGTCACAAGTTCCCCATTCATATAAGATCAAGTTGTGTCCGCCTCAAAATGATTTACAATCAATGTTTGCCAACATCACATCATTGCATCCTCGTTGAATAAACGTTTCAAACACAACAGGGTAAATTCACATTTATATTCATTAAAAAATGCTATTACTCTTTCCATTTACCCCATACTAATGCCACCACTAACAGCAATCCAAGGGCCAATTTTGAAGCCAGTTGCATTAATGGTTTTTAGATATGCAATGAGCAGACGGCATGCAGAGACTTCAATGTAGAAGTTCTGTGTGTAAAGCACAGATTCATGATTCCAACTAAGAGACAATAAGACGAACCTAATCATGTTTGTATAATCAAAAAGCTGATATTTCTGAACCAACAGCTGAGCCCTTAATGGAACTATAACCTGTGTAATAAAAGATGCATCCAGTGGCACAGAAAACAATCATGCAAGCGTATGATATCGCCTGAAGCAGCATCATCAAACATGTTTAACTACAAGAACAACAGCTTTGGTCTCATTAAACACAGAAGAAAAAAACATGACCCACGTACAGCAACTGTTATTATCAAGCAGCATGATCAGGCAAGTAATGTAACCTTTAAAAAATAATTACAGAGTGTGAGTTATTCCTGTACACACAGGATAACCTCAACACACATCATAAATCACTGAACATCCCAGTGTTATTCTAATAGCTTCACAAAAAGCTCTCTCTTATACACTCTATAAATATTTATATTACACATATGCACAGAGATCACATTGGAGCATGCCTCTATGTGTTGACTATCTTTGACACAGAGGGTGGGTGTAGAAACTGTACAAGGCCGATGCGAGGAGGTGAGGAGGACAATCTGCACATAACTCTCAGAAAGAGTGAGGGTCAGCGGGGAGCAGAGGGGAATGTGGGCCATCTTTTGCCTCACTATCTTATGTAAACAGACCTGAAGTTGATTTAAAGGGTCCAAGAGGATCACGGGTTTGCACAAAGCCTGTGCATGTGTGAACAGAAGGTTTATGTGTGTGTGTGCATAATGTCCCTGTAAATGTTAACACCATTCAAACACACATTACTACAATTCTCCGGATGAGTCCTATAAACACGGACTGCATTGACATGCATAGCAACGCCTCATTAACATCTAAAGATTATTGGTACACTGACGCTAACAGTTTGAAATGTTAAAGACCTAACAGCTTACGGTTTCAGCATCATGAAAGAGAACTTTTACAAAAAAAACTACCAGACAGTCAGAGCTTAACATTTCATGTAGATTTACATTCTTTGTTAGAGTTCATACAGATTCACTGTGAAATATCGCTGACACTGTCATATTTAACGGTGACAAAACTGTTGAAAAGCCAAACTTTACAAAGCTTTTTTAATGTTACACTGCAGCAGTCCTAAGTGGGAACTGCAGCCAGAAGATTTTTGCAAACTATTTATTGATTGCAAACAAAACAGAACAAAAAAATGGGGAAAGTGCAGCTTTTGCTTGTTTTTCGAACATGTTTAAGTGATGCTCTGAATGTAGAGACTCTGCTCTGTGCAGCAAATCAGAGAGCCTCTTTGAACCGACGAGGCTCCTTTTCACAAAGACACAGCAACACCACACTTCATCTGTTTATGCAGGGTTAAGCTGAGCACAGGTTTCATGTGCGTAGTGTCTTTTTTTGTTATCTCTTTTCAATGTCCACACACTGAAAATCACTCCCCAAAAAATACACCATCATTCAAAGCAATCTCATCACAATAGTTTGTGATTGTCGTTATATAAAGCATCCAAACGGTTAGAAAAAATTACGGTTTCAGAGCATTTCCCCACATAGCCACTTACATCGCTATTCATGTGAGGAAAAAGAATGCAGCAGTGTGAATGC